TAGATTTAGCAACATTTCTTAATACTGTAACACATTTTTTGTTACTGTTACAACATTTATATGTAGCCTTTTCAGCCATTGATACTATCATACCAAACTTTTGCACAGTGTGCTCGTTAGCAATTCTACATCTAATCCTGTGTATGTCTACTAAATAATGATTTATTAAGATTCATTAGGAACCACTGTACTGGTGGTAATGCAATCTCAGACGATTACAGTCACAGGTTATTGGCCCCAGTATAGTAATTACTACAGAGTACTCTAATAAGAATTCCTCTGTTGTGCCAATTACACCATTGTTATTAGTGGGACAGCTTCAGCTGTTTTTATAAGATGTTTTGTTTTTTTTCTTTATTTTTGTCTATAGGACTAGTTGTCCTGGTTTTGTGGTTAGTTCTTGCACGAGCCCGGTTTGGACTTTTTTACTACTATTATTTATTAAAAGTTAAGTCTTATCATAGGTGACGTTTCACTCTCTCAGTATTCCATTTTCAGAACCAAGTGTTGCATCCTCCACTTTGTTTCTTGTTTGTCTATTGTTAACTACAGGGGTTTTCCCCCACCCAGGAGGTATGCACTGGCTTTAGATCTTTCTTTTCTGTAAGTCTCATAGAGTGTATGTGTAAGAGCAAGGGATATAGTGTGTAAATAGGGGGTAAAGAGAGTGTGCAGTGTGTTTGTGTGAATGTGCATGGGGTGTATTGTTTCTCTATAGGGGGTATAGAGTGTATGTGTAAGTGCAGGAGGTCTAGTGTGTATATAAAATGTTAAAAAAAAATATTTTTCTATTTTTATTTTTTTTTTAAACATATCTTCACCCTCCCTCATCATCACGAAATGCTGCTCCAAGGAAATTGTAATATGGTGAGCTAACAGTTCTACTGGATAAAGAGAATAGGTAAAAAGAAAAGATTTAAAAAGAGCTCACAGGGATATGAAGGGTATAGGCACAGGTTAGTAGTGTTTTTCAGGTACAGTTTGTGGTCTCTTACAAGATAGGGGTCAATCACTGACCCAGAAAGGGAATTACTTGCTTCCAACTGATTGCCAAGTAATTCTGCAACTGCGGACAAATTAACAAAAAATTTATTCAAATAGGTTCTAAATATTAAAGTGGGTAAGTGTACATATTTGTGCATTACAGTAAATTGTAGTAATCACAAGACACAAAAACCCACAATATTTTGATGAGATGATGGTGATTACGACACTCTTTCCTTCCAAAGCATTCAGCAAGTGATATAAAGTTAAAATTTAATAAAGACTCGAAAAACCTCAAAACCATCAAGTTTAGCCTTCACTCATCTGTATTACAAATATATTTTTTTGATTTTTTTTTACTTGTATGGGAACTTGAAACCCTTAAAAACCTCATCAAATCGAAATAAAATATAAAAAAATAAATAAAAAAAATGAATAACCCAGGACTCCTGACAAATCACCAGACATTTTTGAACAAATAAAACCTGGGTGCTAAATTTACCAAAATTGCTTCACACTCTGGTGTAATCCCAAACTCCACCAAAAAGAGAAAATAATAATATGTGCTAGTGAGTGGAGCAATTTTACCATATATGAGACAGAAGAAAAAAAGTATATATACAAACTGTTTTTGATGTTTAGTATAACTTCCAGCATTAATGATGTATATGCAAGGAAAAAGAGAAAACAATAATAGTGCAGATTGTATGAAAAATATATAAGCATATAAAATGATAGTGATTCACAGGTTGTGGAGTATCACTTTAAAAAATGTTATGGTAGAACTCCAATATGGAAAAAACTGACAGAAATTTATTATCTGCCACATGCAGAGAAAATAGTACATATATACATAAAATATAATAAAAGGAAAAAAGATAGGGTGACAAGCCCCTTACTAGATTAGTTGGTGAGTGTGACACATATATGTCAACTCACTATAAGAGCTTATATATTGGGGTGGCAGGCTGCTTAGTCCGGCGTTCTCTCTGTTCGGCTGCAAAAAATTCTCCTCATATGTTTTCATCCACCAGAACCACCTGCCACCCCAATATATAAGCTCTTATAGTGAGTTGCCATATATGTGTCACACTCACCAACTAATCTAGTAAGGGGCTTGTCACCCTATCTTTTTTCCTTTTATTATATTTTATGTATATATGTACTATTTTCTCTGCATGTGGCAGATAATAAATTTATGTCAGTTTTTTCCATATTGGAGTTCTACCATAACATTTTTTTTAAAGTGATACTTCACAACTTGTGAACCACTATCAATATATATGCTTATATATTTTTCATACAATCTGCACTATTATTGTTTTCTCTTTTTCCTTGCATATACATCATTATTGCTGGAAGTTATACTAAACATCGAAAACAGTTTGTATATATACTTTTTTTCTTCTGTCTCATATATGGTAAAATTGCTCCACTCACCATACATTTTTGTTTTCAAAGATTATATCCATAATTTGTTCTCTATTGTCCTTTGTCATACCTTTCTCTTAACTGTTAAGTGCTAAGATCAGACACAACTAATGTTAAAGCAGAAGAAGAGAGTAACTTGGGAGGTACGATAAGAAACAATGTAGTGTGTTTAAAATTAGATTTGTTCTCTGGTCATTTTAGGTTTTCCCGGGGCTGTAATAAGGTCGGTTCCTACTTGCATGTTTGATGGTGGTACAGCATGATTAGGCCATTCTGGGCTGTTGCTTTTGGTCTCCTGAGTACCATTCTGAGGGTTAACCTTGCCCTGATTGAAGAAGCCATTCCAGCGAAATGCGTCTCTGGAACTATTTATATTATTATTTAATATTTTAATTTAAGTTCTAATAAAGTATACTTTTTAAAGTTTATACCTTTATTTATTTTATATTTTTGTTTACCATCAATGTTCCTGCATTCTACAACTAAGGGTGGTATTGTCCCTAACCTTACTCTGCTGTTCAACTGAGCCAATTACTAGGCTCCAGGCTTGTGAATAGTTTACCTATTTATATGAAAATATTTGTTACAAACGGTATCATACTATATATACACACACACATCTCTTTCCTTGAGATACTGCATACTACTGCTGATACACAAGAAAACTCCTAAACTACTCTCCATGAAGCAAAAGGGGCAGGTCGTCTAAAACGGACCTACAGGCAAATAACTCCCAGAGCTAGGTTATAGCTCTGGAATATGTATACACAACATTGGATGTTCAAGGATATGTAAAAATATGGTGTATATATATATATATTCCTTGTTTTCACAAGGTGTACTATTAGGTTTTATGCACATATTTAAGCGCTTCACTAAATCTGGTACAAAGAATTCTGTCTTTGATGGAATATTTGGAGAATTGCACATTACAGTGTGGTAGCAGCTAAGAGATTAATTTTTTTCGCAGTCAAGCGATATAACACATGCACTTTAATAAGCGCTCATATACATTAACTGTGATTTATATTGTAACATGTATCTGTATTGCTGCCTCGAACTGTAGCTGAGCACTTTATAGGCATATTTTCTGCCTATTCCTGTTCCCCCCTTACCTGTACACCAACTCGGCATAGACTCAGCACGTTACAGTGTGTAGTTTAAATCCCTGCCATTTCCACTTTCCACAGACATATTTCCATCTTCTGTTCCTTTTAACGTACTCCACATACCAATGAGCCAGCATCTCTACATTACAGCATGTCTAGATTGTTGTGGAGGGTCCAGACTTAACCCTCACCTCCTCACTGTGAGAAATGACTCTGTGATGCAAAACTACACTGAGCAAGCGGAGTCTCTCTAAGCCCGTTCTCCAAGTTCTCATCCTTTCTTTTTTGCATTAACTTGGCTCGCCCCAACTTAAAAGGGTAATCCAGACGTGGACCCCGTGCTCACTGTGCCTAGAGGGGTATCAGCTACACCTCATTGACTAGGCCCAAAAGAAGGCCGGAACGATCTGGGGTTTCTGTATCTCTCGTGCAAAGAAAACTTGCTGGCATTTTGGATCCTGACTGCTCGTACGGATGGGACCAGTCTGATATGCTTCAGATATGTTCTCTCTGTAATGGCAAAAACTATTTTGAGTCCTGAGCGGGGATGTACCGCAGGGCAAGATATTGAGTCTCTCTAAGCTTTTGCCCATTCTCAAAGTGATCATCCCTTCTTTTTTAAACTGAGCAAGCAGCAAATGTTAGCTTTTGCCTGTTAAAGTGATCTCCTGTAGAACCCTTGATGCTGTGTAAACACAGTTGACCCTGCTGCAGCTTAAACATAAGTCTGCATTGGAGTAATTTTAATACATGTTTAGCTGCAGGTGGATGTCACATTTTGTTTTTAAAGGGAATCAACACATATAAAGAAGGAGACTATATTTAAGAGAAGAAAAACTACCACAAAAAGAGGACATAGTCTTAAATTAGAGGGGCAAAGGTTTAAAAAAATAATATCAGGAAGTATTACTTTACTGAGAGGGTAGTAGATGCATGGGATAGTCTTCCAGCTGAAGTGGTAGAGATTAACATAGTAAAGGAGTTTAAGCATGCGTAGGATAGGCATAAGGCTATCCTAACTATAAGATAAGGCCAGGGACTAATGAAAGTATTTAGAAAAATGGGCAGACTAGATGGGCTGAATGGTTCTTATCTGCCATCACATTCTATGTTTATACACGGCATCAGGCAGAAGAAAACCTAGACGTACCACTGAGCAGGAGTTCTCTATGTAATTCAATTCACCACTCATACTCATTCCAGAACCTCAATCTGCTCTGCCATGTCCTGTTTTAGCTACTACAACATTCCCATCACCAGTTTTCATCTACTGGACTCACTTATATCTAAAAAATCACCATGTTCATCCTCTGTGCATATTTCCATACATTATCCAGTAAATTGTAGGAAAGTGAAAAATGAATGGCACAATTTTAGGTTAAAAATAAATAAATAAAAAAGGTGATTTGCAAAAATTCCTATTTTAAGACATGATCATTTCTGCAATTTGGATGAACTGAGAAATGTTACATGTTGGTTTTATTCATAACTTACAAAAATAATGTATTTTGCACAAGTTTAAAATATTGAAATTTTACATAAAAATCAAAAGAATGTTAATTTGTACTTTACGAAAAAAGAGTGCATTTTCAAAATTTAATAAGAAAACAAAAAAAATAAGAATATTTACTGCTCCATGTCTGTTTCATTTTGCAAGGTTCTCATAGCCAAACCCCACAATGTCATACTTGAAAAGAAAGGACCATCGGAATTCCGGTGCGCATTGGAAGATATCCGGTTACCTAAGGGCTCGGTGCAGTTATTCTCTAAAGTTACTAACGAGGATCGAATCATAGATATATCCGAGTGTAACGTTTCATCTGTGACAGCTACTTCTACTTCAGTGAAAGTATAGCCGTGAGCTGTATCAGGTGAATGAGGCTTGGTATGTCTCACGCGTTCTACGGACAGTTTTTCTTGCCCAACTAATTCTTGTTGTTGAATGCTGGTTTGCAATTTGCAAAACGAATTTGTTGAATTTCCTTCGTACTCCGCTCTTTCCACTGCGTTACCAGTTACAAAAGGCACAGTCATTTCCTGAGTCAATGTATCTGCATTGTGAGATTTTTCCATGTCGGAAGATGTGGTAGGGAAAACCTCTGGCGTATTCTGACCATTTTCTCCAGCCCGACAATACATGTTCCTATGTCTTCTAAGAACAGCAGAGCGAGTGAAGCTTTTGTTGCAAATGTCACAAGTGTAAGGCTTTTCCCCTGTATGTGTTCGGACGTGCCTGCGTAAATCTCCAGAGCCGCCAAATTTTTTACCTACCATTGACAAAAAGTTAAAGGAAAAATGTAACAGATTGTAAAAAAATTTAACAAAGTACAAATGTATTGAAGTGAACTGATAGACCACTTAATTTGTGAGTTATAAATACAGATAAACTCACATATTTTAGAGCCTTTTGGAGATCTAAGGCTCTAAACTTCCAGGTATCTGTGTCTTTAAGGTAGATCACATAACCTTCTTGTAGTTGAATGATAGGTTTATTTCTCCCCACGTCATATATGGTTAATAGATACAGAGAAAGAAAAGTGATACTCTAAGTGCAGTATATCCAATGGTCACTGAGAACAGGAATAATGCATAAAAATGCTCACCTTGTAAAGAGCCTTTTGAAAACTGGCTCTAAGTGTATGAAGCCTAGTGTCAATTTCTGGGGCGACACTTTCCCCTAACCGGAATCATAGGGCAGGATAGGGGAAAGTGTCACCCCAGAAATTGACACTAGGCTTCATACACTTAGAGCCAGTTTTCAAAAGGCTCTTTCCAAGGTAAGCATTTTTCTATGTACTCATATAAAAGTGCCACATATTAAGGGTAAGCGGATTTTATACACGCTAATCGAGGGATATTCACCTAACGCTATACCACAAGCGCTGCACTCTAAACTAACAGCCTGAAGGGTAGAAACACCTATCCAGACTGATAGTTTTTGTTCTTTGGTGATTACTTCTGTGTAGTGGGAGTACCCACAGAGTGTACACAGCAGCTATACAAACACATTTAATTTTGAGTGCCACCTTTTCCACACTTGTGTTGTATCCTATTTTTTTTTTTTATTAAAAATATATATATATATACATATACACACACACACACTTATTTTATGCTCTGTGTGTAAAGGATCAGTTAGCTCAAACTATTTTTTAGCATCTTTGTAAAAGTATGACTCAAAACATAGTTTTAATAGTTTTGACTTAAGCTATGATTTCCATCTTAATATACTGTGCTTCTGAAGGAATGCAATAGAGTGGCTCTACCCCTTTGTACAGTAAAGCCTAGTATATCAACCTGTGGTTCATGTACCTCAGGGGGTACGCGCCCAGAGGCTGGCCACTTTAGGGCTGGCTGAGGGAGAATGAAGGCGGAGGCAGCGAGGGCGCTGTATTCTTTATGATCTTCCAACACTGCTCTCTCACACTCTATGGTGATGCCAGGAGCCAGGTTATGACATCACTCTAGTCCCACTAAATCACGCCCACGAGAGCAATGCTGGAAGAGCACAGAGATTACACAAGCCCCACAGTGGACCCCAGGGACAGGATCCACTCCAGCTCTCCCAAAGGTAGGGAGGCTGAGTGGACTTAAATATAAATAACAAACAAACAAAAAAATTGTGAGTGTGTGTGAAAGGCTGTGTATGTGACGGTCAGTAAATGAGTGAAATCAGTGAGAATTTGTGTCAGTGAGTATCAAATCAGTGTCAGTGAATGTGTGTTTGTCAGTAAGTGTGCCTGTCAGTGTCCTCTGTGTGCAAATGAGTGTGTCAGGGTCTCCTGACAGAAAATATTCACATTGTGTCATATTTATTTTAAAAATATTCTTTGCGTACACACCAATAGTAGGCCGTGGCCAATGGCGCACCAGATAGAAAGATGTCTAGAATATCTATCAAATTACAACTGTTTTTGTATGTTAAATGCACTGTAACTACTCATGTAACCAGCAAGTCTGCGTACATGGCTTCCTATGCATTGTGTAATATGTATTCTATGTACGGTGTACCTTGAAAATTGCAACAACAACAACAACAAAAAAATATTCTTTGCTACCTTTAGTCAAGCTTGTTCACCAATATCGGTTTAACTTAAATATCAGTGTCTACATGTTTCATTTGGAATTGAAATCAATACAAATTACTTTCTCGAAGCAGGGGTACTTTTCTGTAAAGGGTTGAGAAACACTGCAGAAGACGACCCAGCAATGTTGAAAAGGGAGATATTTGCTTCACTGAACAGAAACCATTTTTAAGCTATATTTTTCCTTTAAAAAGAGACACTTCGAACACCAGAACCACTATTTAAAAAATAAACAAAAAAATAAACAAAAAAGCAGGGGTATCTAAACATCAAAGGAACACATCTATATAGATTTTATTTAATGATAGTGTTCCTTTAATGTGTTAATTATTCACCTGGCACATCTGATGGTTTGATTTAAAGAAGTATACATTGTACTTTCTGTTGCTTAGCAACAACATGTCACCGATGAAGGACAGATATCACACTATAGCATTACCTTGACAAACTGCATTTCTTTTTTACCTAGAATACAATACGTTACACTTAATACATTAGTAAATCCAGACAATGGTAATGTCTGCAATCCCTTCTAGACCAAACTTTCCTGCGACCCTGAAAAATAAGTTTTGGAAATAAAAATCCAGAAAAACAAACCCCCAAAAATCCAGAAAAAAAAAAATGCTCTTACCACATGTTAAACAGCTGTAAGGTCTCTCCCCTGTGTGCCTGATTCTGTGCTTTATCAGTTTACGCTGCATGTTAAAGGATTTCCCGCACTCATCACATGTGTATGTCATATCTGCTGCATGAGTCTTTTCATGCTCCTTCAGGTTACTAACATTACTAAAACCTGCCAATATAAACAAGGAACGAACTGGTTAATGGTGCCACAGCGTGGATCTGTTGGTGTATTCCAAGTATAAGAGGATCACTACAGTTCCTTATTTGGATCATAGCAGCCATTAGACATCATGTCTTCAATTCTTTTACAGATAATTATAGAACTTGTAGCCAAACAGCAGCTGAAATGTGTGATAGTGCTGCTATAGAAACTGAGGAGGAAACAATGTTTTTAAAAATTTTACTCCATTTCAATTAAATTCTTGTACGGTTAAGTTACCTCTGCCACAGATATCACACAAATGAGGCTTCTCTCCAGTATGAATAACGATATGGCGTTGAACATCACCCGAGACTGCAAATCTGAAAGGTAGACAAAAAAATATTTCTAGGCAAAAAAAGCTATCACAGAAACCTTCAACAAGAAGGCAGCAAGTACAATTTGCTATAAGTCTTTTCCAGAATTCCTTAGTTAATGGACATCAAAGGCACGTGTGTCCAGACCCATTTGTGATACTACTAAATGCAAAAAAAAAAAACAGCCTTTCTTGATGTACAAATTCAAGAGAAGCTCACATAATTGTGGATATATCCTAACAGCTAGATGAATGGCTCATTAGTAACACACAACAAAATTTGGAAACCATAGACATTATAGAACACACATACACAGTAACAAAACATGCATGAACATACACACATACAAAACAACAGGTACAGCTAAAAGGACAACATTTTCACTTCTCATGGTTTAAAAGTTTATGACATTCAATGAAACAATTATTTTTTACAAAACATTTTGCTTTTTTGTCTGGTTAAGGAGCCAGATTCAGCTGTTACCTGACCAACCTTAACTATAGTCAAAAAAAAATAAAAAATAAAAAAATATTATATATATATATATATATATATAAAATATATATATATTATTTGAACAAATCTTTGCTTCATTAAATATAAAATGAATATTTTTTGCCAGTTGTCACAATTTACACCACATGACTGAGGCAGTCCCAGTATCAAACCCCTAGAACTATAAGGTTATTCAGTATATGTACCTACTCGCTACTCACTTTAACCCCTTAAGGACCAAACTTCTGAAATAAAAGGGAATCATGACATGTCATGTGTCCTTAAGGGGTTAAAGGGACACTATAGTCACCCAGAACACTTCAGCTCAATGAAGTGGTCTGGGTGCCAGGTCCCTCAGGTTTTAACCCTTCAGATGTAAACATAGCAGTTTCAGAGAAACTGCTATGTTTGCATAGCAGGGTTAATCCAGCCTCTAGTGGCTGTCTTCCTGACAGCTGCTAGAGGCGCATCTGCGACGCTGGATGCGAAATTCGCATCCAGCGTGCAGAACATCCATAGGAAAGCATTGAAAAATGCTTCACTCAGGAACTGGCATTGGCAGGGGAGGAGAGGTCACCAGCACCGAGGGAGCACGGCGCTGGATTAAAGTAAGCTGCTGAATGGGTTTTAACCCCTTCAGCGCCAAGGGAGGGGGACCCTGAGGGCACTATAGTGTCAAGAAAACGGGTTTGACACTATAGTGATCTTTTAATCCTTTCTCATCCTTCCTTTCATGACTCCTCTTTATCCGCTCTTACCTTATTAGCCAATTAAAAATGATAGAATATAATTCTAACTGTAAAAAAGCCATGCACCAAAGGACTAAAGAGACACAATAGGCACCCTGACCACTTCAGCTCATTGAAGTGGTCTGGGCACAGGGTCCCTATTGTCCTTAGCCCTTCAAAGTAAAACACAATTCACAATTCAGCACTAAGTCAGCCGCTAGTGACTGTCTACCAGACAGCCACTAGAGGCGCTTCCTGCTTGCTAGGCGACTTTTGGTTGCCGAGTTGACACTGGACATCCTCACACTCTGCATTGATTCAATGCATTCCTATGGAGAGGGCCGCTCATGAGCAATAGGCCCCCCTGTCGGATGACTCAGAGAAGGAGGAGGGTTTAACCATTTATTGGCCGGGTGGGGCTGCGAGAAAGGGGAGTTTTAGTGTTAGAAATACTGGTTTGTATTCATAACACTATAGTATCCCTTTAAGAGACAGTACGATTGCTTCAAACAATACTGAAATGTGTTATCAACACTCCGCTGCATTATATCTTACATATAGATTTGCCAAACTTAGTTTAATATGAAACACTCTCTGAAGTTAACAATTGTTCATGTATTGAGCTTCGGGGAAACAATTTATTCCAATGTAACTAATGTATACTGTTAAAGTGACTCTATAGACATCAGAACCACTACAGCTTAATGACTGTCCCTGCAGCCTCTGCAGTGTAAAATTAGGCAGAGTGTACACTGCTGCTCAATGCTAACTCAGTGACTCTCACTCTGACAGCCCCTAAAAGTAACACCTGGGATTGATCCTGAAAAGATTGCGGGACTGATTTTTATTGTCGCCACACTCTGCAAGGAGACACTGACTCCTTGTTCCTTTAAATGTATTTGCAAACCTGCAATAAAAAGTTAATGCAAACAATCAATATGACTGATACAAATGTCTGAAAACAATTTAAGAAAACATTGTGTTGTTCCCAGTAAGTATATTCATTTTTTCATGCCTACTGGATCCAGAAATAAAAAAAAGCTTTGCTTCATACCTTTTGCCGCATATCTCACAGATATAAGGCTTTTCACCAGAGTGCCTCCGTAAATGAGTTTGAAGATTGCCAGCCTAAAAGAGGAGAGATCAACATTTCACAGAGGTAGTGGCAAGCCTGCCTATGTCTGCAATGGAGAATGTTTTGAATGTGATTAGCACCCCCTGCTGGAAACACATTGCATGCATTCCATTAAATTCTATTCTGCAATTGTAACACATTCCCACTTCAGGAACACTCCAAACCCCTAAAGTTCTGCAGCTTGCTGAAGTGGCACCATGCGGCGATTGCAGTGCGTGAACGTTGCCTTCTAATGCTGGCTTTTGAGGAGCCTTGGAATGGCGAGTAGATTATTAATAGTTATGATCTCACAGTGGGGGGAGTGAAGCTACAGCTAGAGACTATCCTGCTGTTTGATTTGAGGTAGGTTATCCTTATTTTTACAGATAATTGAGGGCGAGTAATGTCTGTGTTTATTTGCTTTATCCTGAATCTGACCTTTTTTTTGGGTATATTATATATCCATTATATGTTTGAACATTAAAGGGAACCTATAGTTCCAAATTATAATTTCTGGAATTTAGGTTCCCTTTTGCTGTGTAAAAATTAAAATTAAATAAAGATTATTTAACTAATTTCCAGTGCTGGGACCCTTCTGCTGCAAATGCCGGCTCCACCTCCGCTGATGTCAGCATTTAAGTTAAAGATCTCTGCTTTCCCTCCAATCAAATGCTGTTATGAGCAGTCTTTGATTCCCAGACTGAGTTTCAGGAAGACAGCATCCAGTAACAGATTGTACACATTGCAGTTTTCCCAGAACTGCAATGTTTTACATTGCTGTGTTAAAACTGAAAGAACCACCGCACCCAGACCACTTCATTCAGCTGAATTGATCTGGGTGGCTATAGAGCTCCTTTAAGTAAAATAAAAAAAAATACATTATGAACATTATTCTCCAAGTTTCCACCAGGCTTTGGTGCTGCAAAAAAAAGCAGGAAATGACTGCATCAAATCCAATTTTCCCCAAAGAAATTAACTAACAATGTGCTGTGCATAAGCAGACATCAAACAAGCATTTGCAGTACACAACTGAGTTTAATGGGGGCTGCTGGCATACCTCCCACCATTTCAAATGTGCAAAGAGGGACACTTTTATTTTAGCAGTATGAGTGGCATAAACATATGCCACAAAACTGTAGAGCCTACATTTTATTGCAGACATAGACCCTTTCCCTCAACTGTCCTGGGATTGGCAGTCAGATATTTAGCTTCATGAAGAAGCCCAACAGAGTAAGAAGCACTGCAGCTGGTTTGTTCAGGAAGGATTGCTAGTGTGTTGGTTAAAAAGTAGAACTGTCTAAATCTGTCAGTGTTCTGCAGGAAATAAAACTGTGATTGACGGCTCCACTTCACTGCCAGTGCCCATCAGCACTACAAGTCACTGTCGAACTTTACTTATTTTACACGATTAATTAAATAACCTTAGGGAAAATAATGCTGCCATCCCGTATTCGGTATACATGCGTGGCCTTATTCACTAAACAGGAAGTTGACAAAGCTACAAAATATTGTATAAAGTCAAGTTTCAAAAACAAAACAAAAAACAGACATCTCACCCCTCAATCAACCAAAATTTGTGGATAATATTTTCAAGTACAATGTAAATGGCAATTAAACCTTAGAATCAATAGTTCCATAGAACATGTATATATGTATGTGTAAATAAGCACACACTTTTTTTGTGTGTCCATTTTATATAGAACAGTGGAGCTTAATCACTAGTCACCGGGAGCACTTGAAGGAACACTAAGGCATTCGCAATACAAACATGTATTCCTAACACTGTAGTGCCCTTCTAACTAGTTAGTCGTCGTTGTACTCCCCCCCCATCCAACACCACTTCTCTGATCAAACTGATCGGTACAAAATCAAACAGGAGTCACAAATAGGTAACAAAGACTTTATTATGCGTTTCGGATGTCGGATTTTACAGAATTTTATGGATTGTGCCAATCAATAGCTATTCAGTAGTGTACTACGTATGTAATGCTGAGGACAGTGACTGCTATAGTACAAAATCCCTCCCCCTCTCTCTGCTCGTTTCTGCACTGCCGTCCCTGCCACCTTGGCGGAGATCATCAAGACCAACATTGGGAGGCTACTGCGCATGTGCGGCAAAATGCCGCTCTCAACCAAAATGATTATCCAGCTGAATCATTTCAGTGTACATGGTATAAAGCGTGGTGTAAAACATAATAAAGTAATAATTACATATTAAAAATGACTACACAAATGGACCTACCTGTGAAAAGTGTTTGCCACAAACACTGCATTCAAAGGGTTTCTCACCTGCAACAAAATATGTAACAGTTACTAAACTGAATGCAAAATGTAGGGATATAGTGGCAAAACATGAGCATTCACTTACAATAAATATATCAAAGAAGATAAAAAGCACACACTGACCCCATCTAACGGTCCTCCAACAATCATTTTCACAGCTTCTGAGTGAGAATGTCATTTGGCAATCAATGAAAAAAAATAAAAAAATCACTAGACGTGCACAGAAGGTGCTCAACATCTTGTGGCTGGCATGCGGCTTCTTCGTATACAATTTGTATATTTGTATAGATAACTATATACACATACGCACACACTGCGTTCAGAAACTATTAAAGACTCTTTAATTTTTCAATTTTCTTTATGCTGGAACCTTATGCTACAATTGTTTAAATTATTTTTTTTTTCCCACATCAACCTATACTTAATACCCCACAGTGACAAAGCAAAAAACTGATTTTTGAAATTAAAAAAAACCCAAAAACTGAAATGTCACATTGATATTTCTCTGGATCATCTTTGAATGTTTCTATACACTGACTGGAGTTCACCTGTTGCAAACTCATTTGACTGAACATACTATGGAAAGGCACACAGCTGTTTATATAAGGTCTCACGGCTGTAAATGTGTATCAGAGAAAAAACCAAGCCATGAGGTCACAGGAACTGCCTGGAGACCTCAGGATTATGTCAAGGCTTAGGAAGGCTACAAAAACATTCTGGCTGCATTGAAAGTTTCCAAGACTACAGTGGCCTCTACACCCAGTTCCAAATTATTATGCAAATTCTATTTAAGTGTCACAAAGATTAAATATTTTGTTTTTCAGTTTAACTCATGGATGGCATTGTGTCTCAGGGCTCTTTTGATCATAGAAAACAATCTCGGATACCTGTGATAATTAGATTGCCAGGTGAGTCCAATTTAAGGAAAAACTACTAAAGGAGGGTGTTCCGCATTAATAAGCAGAGCACCATTTTCATGCAATATGGGTAAGAAAAAGGATCTCTCTGCTGCCAAAAAGAGTGAAATAGTTCAATGCCTTGGACGAGGTATGAAAACATTAGATATTTCACAAAAACCTAAGCCTGATCATCGCACTATTAAGAGATTTGTGGCTGATTCAGAGCACAGACGGGTTCGTGCAGATAAAGGCACATTGAGGAAGATTTCTGCCAGATCCATGCATCGGATCAAGAGAGCAGCTGCTAAAATATCATTACATAGCAGCAAACCGATATTTAAAGCTGCTGGTACCTCTGGAGTCTCATGGACATCAAGGTGTAGAGTCCTCCAGAGTCTTGCAACTGTGCATAAAACTTCTATGTGGCCACCACTAACCAATGCTCACAAGCAGAAACAGCTGCATTGGGCAGAAAAATACATGAAGACTAATTTTCAAACAGTCCTGTTCACTGATGAGTGCCATACAACCCTGGATGGTCCAGATGGATGGAGTAGTGGATGGTTGGTGGACGGCCACCCTGTTCCAACAAGGCTGTCACGTCAGCAAGGCGGTGGTGGAGTTATGTTTTGGGCCGGAATCATGGAAATGGAATCATGGGAAGAGAGCTGGTCTCTTAGGGTCCCCGAAGGTGTAAAGATGGCCTCTGCAAAGCATGTTGAGTTTCTGACTGACCACTTTCTTCTCTGGTACAGAAGGAAGAACTATGCTTTCCGTAATAAAATCATCTTCATGCTGCAAAGAATACCTCTGCATCAATGGCTGCTATGGGGATAAAAGGAGAGAAAGTCATGTGGCCTCCATCCTCCCCTGACCTCAATCCTATTGAGAACCTTTGGAGAATCCTCAAGCAAATGATCTATGAGGGTGGGAGGCAGTTTACATCCAAACAGCAGCTCTGCGAGGCTATTCTGACATCTTGCAAACAAATTCAAGCAGAAACTGTACAAAAACTCACAAGTTCAATGGATGCAAGACTTGTGAAGCTGCTATCAAATAAGGGGTCCTATGTTAAAATGTAACGTGACCTGTTAAAATGTTTAAAAAGTTCAAATGTTGTTTTAAGTTTGATTGAAATAGCTTTTGATTTCAGTAAATATGCTGCAAACACAACAAATGACAATTTTCAGTTCTTTACAACCTATAAAGTGTTTTGAAACTTACTGTGCATAATAACGTGGAACAGTGCATTGTAAGTTTATGTTTAAAAAAAAAATACTGTTATCATTTGGAAGTTTGTTCAATAAAATTTGAATTGTACTCTTAATAGTTGATAACATGAGAATTATGCTGACTGTTATTTACATCAATTATTTAGGTAAATGAGAAAAATATAATTTGCATAATAATTTGAAACAGGGTGTATAACGCTTAACTGGAAGCAGCTAAGAACAACCAGGACTCTTCCATGAGCAGGCTGCCTGGCTAAACTGGGCAAATAAGGGAGAAGGGCTTTTGGTAAGAGATGCTAAAAACCTGAATGAACTAAATAGATTATGTGTGGAGGTGGGGAGAAAGTTGCAGTAGACCAAGACATAAGAAATCCAGCTTGACATTTGAAAACAAGCACCTAAACTCTTAAGACTCAGACACTGTTCTCTGGTCTGATAAAACCAAGAATTAATTGCTGGGCCTCAATTCACAGAGTCATGTCTGGAAGAAACCAGGCACCAGTTCTTACCTGCGCAATACCAAATGAATGATTAAGCATGATGGTGGTAGCACCATGCATTGGGGGTGTTTTTCCAGCAGCAGGAACTGGAAGACTGGTAAGGGTTCAGGGATCGCTGAACACAGCTAAATAAAAATATAGCCTTAATGAAAACCAGGCTTTATCCAACCTACCTGCAGAGGCAAATGGCAGAAACGACCCAAATCCAGGTGTGCAAAGCTTGTTCCATCATACCCAAAATGACTTGAGGGTACAATCACTGCCAAAGGTGCTTCAACCAAGTGCTGAGTTAAGGATCTGAATATTTATGTCAATGTGATATTTCCGTTTTTTAAATGTTTAATATATTTGCAATGGTTTTAGAATTTTTTTTTTTTATTTGTCCCTATGTAGTAGAGTGTAGATTGTTTTGAAAAAAATAAAATTATAATTTAAACAATTGTAGCATAAGGGTGCAACATAAAAAATGTAGGGATCGGTTGCTCCTGTTTTTTAGATTTAAATATATTTTATAGATATAGAGCAATACTTACAGTTGTGTTTATTCTCCAAGTACCCTGGCTATTGTATACAGGATGTCCCAAGCTAAATGCAGAGGTATTACTGTTAACACGTTGCATGACCAGCATCAGTGATAAGTAGCCTAATAGCCAGGATGTTTGCCTGTAGTTGAAGAACATGACCTGAAGTCCATGCTATATTCTCAAGCATGAATAACCAGCTCGTTGGTTTCAATCTTACAAAATTAGTCAGCAAAGTAAGAATTGTTAGAATAGTCATATATTACACCAAAATAGCTGAACTAGAAGCATACCTGATTTTGAGACTTTTTTTCTCCAGTTCAGCTATTTAACCTTAAATCTGAAACTCACTTTGAATTCCTGACAATTGTAATTTTAGTAAATAACCCAGTTGGTGTTAAAGAAAATGTGCCTTGCCTCATATGGACAGAGATCAATTCAAAAAGGAACCCCCTAAAGCTCAGCCCCTAACGGTGCTTTTTTATATATATATATATATATATATATCCCTTTCATCATCAACCCAATATATTTTTTTTAATCTACAGCATATTATGTGATATAAATCACAACTTCCCTGAATTATATGCATTTAATAAGTAGGTGATCTAAACATAAACTGTTACCTCACTGTACCTGTATGAGAACGTTTATGTAGTTCCAGATTACTTGGATGTTTAAAACTCTTCCCGCACATATCACAAGCACAGTGTTTATTTGATAGATCTTGCTCTTCTACAGTCGAAGGACTCTCTGACCTCTCTTCGACGTGTCCCTCCAGATTTGCAAACATTTCACCAGCTACGCTGCAGCGTTCCTCAGACTCTTTTTCATGGGTAAACATTGTGTCTTCAACTATATTTTGCAAGTTGGCAACGGGCTCAGCAGACTCTTCGACTGGCTTCTGAGATCTAAGAAAGTTTAACTTTTTCAGATGGATGGCTTTCTTCAGACGCATTTCAATTGGGAACTGTAATGTTGATCTCTCTGGCTCCTGTGTTGAGACAAACGTGTGCGAGAACGCAGGCAGTGGTTCCAGGGGTAGAGAATCCGATGGTGCCAATATGGGAGCAGAACTATTCAAAGTCCAGGACTGGGTTTCAATTTGGTTATTTTCTGTAACTGTGCTAACAGATGTTTGTTGTTCTGCTACTTTATCAGCATTTTCCCTGTAAAACTGTTTACTATAAAAGTCTCTCAATTTGTAAGGTTGATTTAGTTGTTTTATAGGAGTTTCTTTATCATTTAAAGGAACAGAGGTTGGTTTTGCCATCTCATCTGGAACCTTATGAGGTTGAGGTACCCGGGCAGGATCTTCATCCTGTCCTGTAGGCTGTAATAATGGAGGACCGAGTTGCTCATTTGACATGGAATTTGTATAGGTTGGGAAAGTACTCTGAAGAGGTGAAGAATTGCTAAACGGTGTGGACGTCACCTGCTCTACAACAGAAGTTAGTTTCAAGAAACTGTAACACATGTTGAGGACATTCTGCACTTGCAGGCATTGAGCAACATCCAATATGGCTTGCACATTATCATTATTCAAGTCTAGGTGAGATGTATACATAAAGTCCAAAATTTGACCTATCCCACCAATATTTTTAATGTCTAAATGAAAGACATCGTTTTTCTGGCTGGAAGTGTTCTGGAATAATGATCTGTTGAAACAATGAAATATAAACTCATTAATTCTTAAAAACACGTAGTGTGCAATCTAACATATTAATAGCGGATTGTGTTGACCAAGATATGCCCAATTTATGAGAGTGTGTGCAAGATCATGACCTAGGCACTAAACTTTAATTATCCAAGGTGTTCTACCAAACTAATGTGGCTATCTAATTTTACTTTGCTTGCCAGATGTGCAAATCTAAAACAGCAAAAAGGTATACACCGAAATCAGAAGAGTAAGGGAAGGGGTAGGAGAGATAAAATTAAAGTTGCCCTGAAATGTCTTCTCTTGCAATGTGAGCATCATGTTAGTGATTGGATATTGTTTGTCACAAATCATGAAATAGAAAACTGTTCTCTGATTTTGCTTTGTGCCAAAGGTAGGGTAGGAATTTATTTTTTATTATAAAGAACTGCAGAAGAATTTTAAAAAGTGACCAAAACAATGTATAGATGATTGTTTTTACCAAAATCCGGATGCTACCAATTAACATATATACCTACATTTATTGGATAAGATTTCTCTGAAATTTGCTAAGAATACTATGGAGTATTTGCTCTAAAGCCCAATTGGTACATAGTAAACCCAGTTAGTGATAACTGGTTTTAACCCTATGTTATCCAACAGGAAGGGGTCATTTATCAAACACATAAAACACAAGAATTTGAGGAGTTTCCATTGCTGGATTATATCATTCCCATTTGTATTTTCCCACCATTACTTACACAAAACCAGAAAAAAGTATCGTACCTGAAATACTGGCTGAAAGCAGCCAGTACATTTTTGTGAGCTTTAAAGCAAACACCGTTCACCACCAGCATGCAGTCGCACAGCAATCCCTGGATGCGCTGTTCATGAAGTTGCTGTAGAAGGTGGCAGCTGTGGCTAGCTGCACGATCCATCTTTGATCAACATTCTATCCTAAAAAAACAACAACCACAAAACACATTAACAAGACAATCTGGACAGCTCCTATGCAAAATGCAAGTTATGAATTCTCTATCCATATATTGTAGGTATGCAATCAATAAAAGTGGATTAAATGTGAAAAAAAGGGAATGTGAAGATTGGTAAAAGGATTTGCCTAGATTAAAAAAAAAAAAAAATGCAGTTTCATTTCACCATGCACAATGTATGTGCGCTCCACAAAATAAAAATAAATACAGAATATTTTTGGAGCGCACATACAGTATTTTAGTATTTCAGGTTATAAAATCGCTCTCTATATGTATGTTGCTGCCCATAATTTATAGAATTGAGTTTCTAATATCTATGGGCTGTCTAAGTTTCAAAATATATTAAAAGGGACACTATAGTCACCTGAACAACTTTAGCTTAATGAAGCAGTTTTGGCGTATAGAACATGCCCCTGCAGCCTCACTGCTCAATCCTCTGCCATTTAGGAGTTAAATCCCTTTGTTTATGAACCCTAGTCACACCTCCCTGCATGTGACTTGCACAGCCTTCCATAAACACTTCCTGTAAAGAGAGCCCTATTTAGGCTTTCTTTATTGCAAGTTCTATTTAATTAAGATTTTCTTATCCCCTGCTATGTTAATAGCTTGCTAGACCCTGCAAGAGCCTCCTGTATGTGATTAAAGTTCAATTTAGAGATTGAGATACAATTATTTAAGGTAAATTACATCTGTTTGAAAGTGAAACCAGTTTTTTTTTCATGCAGGCTCTGTCAATCATAGCCAGGGGAGGTGTGGCTAGGGCTGCATAAACAGAACCAAAGTGATTTAACTCCTAAATGACAGTGAATTGAGCAGTGAAATTGCAGGGAAATAGTGATGTCCCGAATGGTTCGCCGAATGGTTCGCCCCGGACAGCGAACATAAACATAAACTTTGACCATGTTCCTCACAGTCAGCAGACACATTCCAGCCAATCAGCAGCAGACCCTCCCTCCCAGATCCTCCCACCTCCTGGACAGCTCATTAAGAATGCAGCTTCACAATGAATGCAAAATGGATGCTGCCCAGGAGGTGGAAGGGTCTGGGAGGGAGGGTCTGCTGCTGATTGGCTGGAATGTGTCTGCTGACTGTGAGGAACAGGGTCAAAGTTTACTCAATGATGAAATAGGGGGCGGACCGAACAGCGCATATGTTCGCCGTCCGTGGCGAACTGTTCGGCGAACCGTTCGGGACATCACTACAGGGGAATGATCTATACACTAAAACTGCCTTATTTAGCTAAAGTAATTTAGGTGACTATAGTGTTCCTTTAATATGTGGGGGCCTTCAGTTCTGATATAAAACCTGCTTTTTAAATTAAAGACACAACATACCACATTTTGACAGGCTTATAACAGACTTTCTTCTTTGAATATATGGCTTATGACAGTCAATGTAGATTAATGAAGAAAAAATAAATCTAGGTTTATCAGCAGTTTCAAAAATCAGAACAAATTTAGTTTTAATTCTTCATACTTGAAAATGAGTTATACTTGCATATAACGTAGTACTTACGTCAATTTGGCGTCTGTTTAAGTTACAGCCTTAAAAAGTACTAGGTCTAATAATGTCAAGTTATACATGCCATATAGGAACACAGACATCTTATTTAGCTGCCTCTACTGAATGAAAGATGAACATACACTGGCTTTTAGTGATTACAGGTCAAACCGAAACTCATAATGAAATATTAACAAATAAAAATCTGGAGCCTGTTTCTCATGAATATAAAAACCTACTGTTCACTAATAAGTTGGAAAGTCCTATATGATTAAAACCAAAGAGAAAAATACTGTTATTAAAGAGCTATAATATTACAGCTAAGCAGAACAAATGAAAAGGTACAGAAGGAAACGAAAAATACATTTACAAAAAGACAGAAAATAATATTATCTGGAAAAGTTGGCTGTCTGTAGACTAAAAGATATTCCTTGCCCTCTGACTCTGCACGGAAAAAAACGCGCATCTGTTCTGCGTGTTAAAGCTGCTTTACGAGTGTGCTTTTAGTTCAGCCATTTTTGCTCCTCCGCTCTCTTTATCTCCTGGCCAGTGCTGTGTCAATAGTGTACTGCGGCACATGGACAAGAGCTTATTGTGCAACGAGATAACATAGGCTGCTTAATGGGTTACTTCAAGCACCATAACCACTTCCATGATTTAAAGTGGTCATGGTGCCTGGAGACTGTATGTGCAGCATTTATTTATGAAATACTGCACATACAGAAATTAACCCATCTGCTGCTGCTCTACCTCTGGCAGTGTTATTAGCCAACCTGGAATAAGAGTTCAGGGAGGATAATGTTAATTCTGTGCAAAAATTGGCATCTGACACCAGTATGCATCCTCTCTGCTCCATGACGACCAACAAGGGGTAGTGACATCAGCAGAGGAATCTTGGCCTCGGCTCTGGGAAGGAGCATCATTATCGTTTTCTTTTTTTTCAGGGGGGGATCTGTATTTGAAAAGTTAATCTGACAGAATTTTCTTAAACACTGTTTTATGGTTGGAGTAACAATTTATTTTGCATTTTACCACATATTGCCCACAGGGTCCTAGGTAGATTTCCAGTTTGGACCCCTTTCATTATTCACATAGGGATGGTAAATGTAGCCAATCAAATTCATAACAGGGCCCCTGTCTAACCCCAAAGTGGCCGCCTTAAGGTTAATCCTGCTCTGATAGTCCCTGAGTACCAGGTTATAGCCAGTTTGGAGAGATCTTAATAGAGAGGTATATTTTGGATACAGGGTTACAGTCAATTTGGAGAAGTATAAATACAGATGTACATTTTGGATGCTTGGATACAGACAGTTTGGAGAGATACAAAGAGGTATATCTTAGATACCGGGTTATAGACAGTTTGGAGAGATACAAAGAGGTATATCTTGGATACCGGGTTATAGACAGTTTGGAGACATCTGAGTACCGTATCTCCATAGACAGGTATATACATTGGATGTCTTGCTACAGCCAGATTAGAGAGTCTAAATAAAGTGGTATATCCTGTGTACCAGATTGCAGCCAGTTATGAGATATCTGAACAGAGCGGTAAATCCTAGCTGGTCAGGCAAAGGCTCAAATACCCATTTGTCTTCCTTACTAGGGAGATAAAATTAAATGATTACTGGCAGGATTATTAACTATCGTGAGAACCGTTGGGAAATTTAAGTTGAATTTCAAGTTTAGGGCCAAAGTAACCAAAACTGGAAGCACCGCTGACTTGGAGAATTTTTCCAGTTTAGGTATTTTGACCTTAAATTAGAATTCCAAACTGGCTGTCAGCCAGTACCCAGGACATACCATTTTTTTGAGATTGCACCAGCCAGCTGTAACCTGGTATTTATCTCTCTATTCAAATCTCTAACTGGCTGTAACCCAGTACCCGGGATATACCTAAGCCATACCGTTCTATACATCTATACAGAGCTGTTACCGGCCACCTTGGATTTATCACTTTATTCAGATCTTTAGCTGGTTGTAACCTGGTACTCAGGAGACACCTGTCCTTTTACATCGCTCTAAACCAGTTGTATCCGTTGCCTGGTATTTATAAACTCTATTCATATATCTCTCCTAAACAACTGTAACCTGATACCTTCAATTTATCTCTCCATGGCTATAACCCATTACCTGGGATATACCTCTCTATTCATATGCCACCTATACGACTGTAAAGTGTACCCTGGATGTACTCTTTATATTCATTTCACTCCTAACCGGCCACAATCTGGTACCTGGCTTTTATACCTCTATTCAGACCTCTCCTAGCAACCTGTAACCACATACCTGGCACATGCCTCTGAATTTCAATCACTCATATACAACCGCAACCCCAGTATCCAGGATATACCTCTTTCTAAATATCTCTCCTAGCTGGATGAAACCTGGTACCTGGGATATATCGCTTTCTTAATATCTCTCCTAGCTGGATGAAACCTGGTAACTGAGATATACCTCTAAGGCAGCTCTAGCATATCAGCCATGTAATAAAAATAATAATAGATATCACAGCCATGTAATAAAAAAAACAACAACAGCTATGACAGCCATGTAGTAATACTATTAATAAATATGACAGCCATGTAATAATAATAATAATAATAATAATAAGATATGACAGCCATGTAATAATAATAGATATGACAGCCATGTAATAATATGACAGCCATGTAATAAATAAAAAATATGAGAGCCATGTAATAAATAATAAATATGACAGCCATGTAATAATAATAATAATAATATATGACAGCCATGTAATAATAAAAAAATAATAATAAATATGACAGTCATGTAAAAAAAAATATGATTGCCATGTAATAATAATAATAAATATGACTGCCATGTAATAATACTACATATGACAGCCATGTAATAATAATAATAATAATAATAAATACGACAGCCATGTAATAAATAATATATATGACTGCCATGTAATAATAATAAAGATGACTGCCATGTAATAATAATAAATATGACAGCCATGTAATAATAATAATATATATGACTGCCGTGTAATAAATAATAAATATGACAGCCATGTAATAATAATAATAATAATAATAATAATAATAATAATGATGACTGCCATGTAATAATAATAATAATAATAATAATGATGACTGCCATGTAATAATAATAATAATAATAATAATAATAATAATGACAGCCACGTAGTAATAATAATAATAAACTGTATATGACAACCATGTAATAACAGATAAGACGGCTATGTAATAATAATAATATATATGACAGCCATGTAATAATAATAATAATAATAAATATGACAGCCATGTAATAACAGATATGACAGGCATGTAATAATAATAAAAATGACAGCCATGTAATAATAATTGTAGATATGACAGCCATGTAATAACGGAGATGACAGCCATGTAATAATAATAATATACTAAATATGACCGCCAAGTAAAAATATATATGACTGTCATGTAATAATATGAGCCATGTAATAATAATAGTTATGACTGCCGTGTAATAGTAAATATGACAGCCATGTAAAAATAAATATGACAGCCATGTAATAACAGAATATGACAGCCATGTAATAATAATATATGACAGCCATGTAATAAATAATAAATATGACAGCCATGTAATAACAGATATGACAGCCATGTAATAATAATATATGACAGCCATGTAATAATAATATATGACATCCATGTAATAAATAATAAATATGACAGCCATGTAACAATAATAATAATAATAATAATAATATATCTGACAGCCAGCTGTGTGATGTGGCTCTGTGTCAGGTATTAGTAGTTCAGCTCTGGGTGCTATGAGCTCTCTCTCTCTATGCTCTCTGTGTCCTATCATACAGTACACACACACAGTACAGTACAGTACAGGTACAATGCCAGCACACACAGCGAGCTATCCCGGCTTTGTTACCCCATGCCATGGCCGGCTGTGTCCTCTGGGGGGCGCTGGAGGAGCCGCACACAGGGCAGTGAAGGGATAACATGCACGGGCGGCGCTCTGTGTCACCTTATTGGGGGAATCTCACCTTCTGGCTGGAGATACTAAGCATAAACATAGATCGCTCCGCTCGCCAGTGACGTGTTTCCGGTCTGGCTGGCTGATAGGGGAAAGTCTGGTAAGAGTTAAGGAGGCGGGAACGGAAGTGACGTGGGAGAGTAATTAGTACCCGGTGTAAGGAGGAACACGTGGGATCCTGGGTGAGTGTTCACATAGCAATGGGCGCTGCATGTACTGCTGGGAGAGTGATTAATAAACCAGCCTGGCACTGCTAGTAATATTATAATACAGCCTGGCACTGCTAGTGATATTATAATACAGCCTGGCACTGCTAGTAATATTATAATACAGCCTGACACTGCTAGTAATATAATAATACAGCCTGGCACTGCTAGTAATATAATAATACAGCCTGGCACTGCTAGTAATATTATAATACAGCCTGGCACTGCTAGTGATATAATACAGCCTGACACTGCTAGTAATATTATAATACAGCCTGGCACTGCTAGTAATATAATAATACAGCCTGGCACTGCTAGTAATATAATAATACAGCCTGGCACTGCTAGTAATATTATAATACAGCCTGGCACTGCTAGTAATATAATAATACAGCCTGGCACTGCTAGTAATATTATAATACAGCCTGGCACTGCTAGTGATATTATAATACAGCCTGGCACTGCTAGTGATATTATAATACAGCCTGGCACTGCTAGTGATATTATAATACAGCCTGGCACTGCTAGTAATATTATAATACAGCCTGACACTGCTAGTAATATAATAATACAGCCTGGCACTGCTAGTAATATTATAATACAGCCTGACACTGCTAGTGATATAATAATACAGCCTGGCACTGCTAGTAATATAATACAGCCTGGCACTGCTAGTAATATTATAATACAGCCTGACACTGCTAGTAATATTATAATACAGCTTGACACTGCTAGTAATATTATAATACAGCCTGACACTGCTAGTAATATAATAATACAGCCTGACACTGCTAGTAATATAATAATACAGCCTGACACTGCTAGTAATATAATAATACAGCCTGACACTGCTAGTAATATAATAATACAGCATGGCACTGCTAGTAATATAATAATACAGCCTGGCACTGCTAGTAATATTATAATACAGCCTGGCACTGCTAGTGATATAATAATACAGCCTGGCACTGCTAGTGATATAATAATACAGCCTGGCACTGCTAGTGATATTATAATACAGCCTGGCACTGCTAGTAATATTATAATACAGCCTGACACTGCTAGTAATATAATAATACACTGCTAGTAATATTATAATACAGCCTGACACTGCTACTGCTAGTAATATAATAATACAGCCTGACACTGCTAGTAATATAATAATACAGCCTGGCACTGCTAGTAATATAATAATACAGCCTGACACTGCTAGTAATATTATAATACAGCCTGACACTGCTAGTAATAATATAATACAGCCTGACACTGCTAGTAATATATAATACAGCCTGACACTGCTAGTAATATAATAATACAGCCTGACACTGCTAGTAATATAATAATACAGCCTGACACTGCTAGTAATATAATAATACAGCATGGCACTGCTAGTAATATAATAATACAGCCTGACACTGCTAGTAATAATATAATACAGCCTGACCCTGCTAGTAATATAATAATACAGCTTGACACTGCTAGTGATATTATAATACAGCCTGACACTGCTAGTAATAATATAATACAGCCTGACACTGCTAGTAATATAATAATACAGCCTGGCACTGCTAGTAATATAATAATACAGCCTGGCACTGCTAGTAATATAATAATACAGCCTGACACTGCTAGTAATAATATAATACAGCCTGACACTGCTAGTAATAATATAATACAGCCTGACACTGCTAGTAATATTATAATACAGCCTGACACTGCTAGTAATATTATAATACAGCCTGACACTGCTAGTAATATTATAATACAGCCTGACACTGCTAGTAATATTATAATACAGCCTGACACTGCTAGTAATAATATAATATAGCCTGGTACTGCTAGTACTATTATAATACAGCCTGGCATTGTGAGTAATATAATAATACAGCATGGCAAATATTTGTTATTGAAAGTCCACCAAATGCACATCAACTTAATCTCACCCAGAAGGGGGTTCCAGATTCAAATTGCAGACATGCTACCTGTTTTATTTTAATTTTTTTTTTACTACTCTGGCACACATGGTCCTTGCTGAGAAACAATGAATATAATGGAGTTGGTAATTTAGTGGTATGGTCCTTCTATTAATTGTCATGGTTTTTCTTTTAGCTCAGAATAATTTGGCCCTCTGACACCAACTCTACATCGTCCATCATGGTGTTTTTTACATGCAATGCTTGTGGGGAATCCCTGAAGAAAGGCCAAGTGGAGAAACACCTTGTAATTTGCAGAAACTGTGAATGTCTCTCGTGTATTGACTGTAGTAAAGATTTCTGGTTTGTACCCAATTATTTATTTGCAATTGTTATCAAATGTGCTATCAATCAAAAATCTAAAGAAAATCTGAATTATTAGAACTTCTTTCCAACAATCAGTATGTTGCCAATCCCCTCTGCCCACTCCCTACCCTCCAGCATACCCCTACCCTCCAGCACACAAAGGGTTAAAAACTCTTAATTCACTTACCTGAATCCAACATAGATCTTCCTCGGCGCTGGGTCAGGCTCCGCCTCCACTCCTCAACCGACATCATGGGCTTGCGCCAGAATCACATTAGGACAACCTTATTTAAAAAAAAAAACCTGAATCGATGGTTTCCTATGGGGTTTTTGCTGTCTCTGGATGTCGTCTCGCAAAGACAGAGTTAACCCTGCAATGTAATTATTATAGTTTCTCAATAACTGCAATAATTCTAATTGAAGGGTTAAACTGACAATGGTCTGGGTGCCTATAGTGTCCCTTTAACTGTAACCTAATCTACAACTTGCATTCAGCGTATAGGAGCTTGGATTCTCCTCATATTTTTATTTTGTATATATTTATGTATGTCTACAATTGTACTAATTTACACTTTATGCGCTGTTCTGAGTTTTTTGTTTTCCATTTCAAAACAGGGGACAGGAATACAAGAACCATTTAAAATGTATTTCTGAAGACCAGAAATATGGCGGCAAAGGATTTGAAGCCAAGTCAAACAAAGGGGATGTGAAACAACAGCAGTGGATCCAAGTAAGCAGATCATTCTCCTTCCCAGGGCCTATTGCAACCATCCACTCCAGAAGTTAACTACATTACAGCCATGATGCTGGCAAAATGAAGTCCACAATATTCAGAATGCTAAATGTTGCCTTTGCTTGGCCATTCTAATTCACATGTGTTCAGAGTTGGTTGTCAAGTAAACCTGGGTAAAGATGCTATGTTTCAATTCTCTTTGTTGTAAGCATAAAACTCACCAGTGCTTTACCTGCCTTAATCCCTTAAGGACACATGACATGTGTGACATGTCATGATTCCCTTTTATTCCAGAAGTTGTGTCCTTAAGGGGTTAATAAAACATTAAAATCACCTAGAACGTGTGCTAACCTTTTTGTTTTGGCATCTAATATTTGGTGGTAGTCAGAGGGTTTGTTGTTTGAGCCATTTAAATTTCCTTTACTTATTATAATCGCTTGCATTATTTACAGCTGAGGTATTTTTTTAGACTCTGCTGATGTATTGTGATCCCTTGCTTGGCTCTCAATTTGTGAAATTATAATATAGATGCATTCAACTTTTATTTGACCAATTCTGCTTAACTTAACTTTCCTGCTGCTGTGATTGTTTTATGTGAAACTGCAGCAGCGGGCAAGCTAGAAGGAGTAGCAATTGGGAAAAATAATACTAGTCTGACCCAACGTTGCTCCCGAGCCAGATAAGTGACATTTTCTAAATAAACAAAAAAAAAAAAAACGTAAACATAATTTAAAAAAATGTGATTTAATTAAAGAATCACAATAGTAACCAAAACACTTTAGCTTAAGGAAGCGGTTTTAGGCTATAGATAATGTCTCTGAACTTTCCCTGCTCAATTCACTGCCATTTAGGAGTTAAATCACTTTTGTTTATGTATATGCAGCTCTAGCTACACCTCCCATAGCTGTGACTGACAGTCTGCATGAAAATAAAATGGTTTATTTTCAATCAGATGTAACCTACTTTAAAAGTTTATTATATATATATATATATATATATATATATATATATATATATATATATATATATATATATATATATATATATATATATATATATATATATAGTGACAAAAGTACTCCTTTCCCTTGGTACTTTGTCCTGGGATTGGGGTGTTACACACAGTCTTTTCAGGCTTTAGAGACACTTCACACGCTGGATGAGGTAAACTGACTTGCTCTTTTATTGAGGTTCCAAAATAAATGCACAGTAAGGTATAAAGGTAACAAAATATATCAAACAAAAGCCTTGCTCTTCTGAGCACTAACTAAACAAAATAATCAGCTAACTGGGTTGGATGGCTTGTCCATTTCCCAACATAAACATAAACATAAACAGCCTTACTGCTTCAGGGTTTTCAGCTCTCTGTTTCCACTCACAGAAACCAAAGACAATATTGCACCAACCTTATTAGAGAGCAACGCTCTGCTATCTAACCTGTTGCTTTCCTTTCTGCACTCCCAGTGCTCCAAGCCAGCCTTGCCCTGACTGCTTTGCTTTCTGCACTCCCAGTGCTCCAAGCCAGCCTTGCCCTGACTGCTTTCCTATCTGCACTCCCAGTGCTCCAAGCCAGTCTTGCCCTGACTGCTTCCTTTCTGCACTCCAAGTGCCTAGTCTCCTTGACTATCTGGAGAGAACAGCCTCTCTCTCCTACCTGCTTCCTGGGAGGAAGCCAGCAATCCCTCTCTTTTACCTGCCTAGCAGGGAGGGGCTTATTACCACTGCAATAGCTCATTAACTGCACCTGAGCAGTGGGTTGGAGACGGTCCAAAAAACCCTGGCCTGGATCTATGTCTCCCCAGAAAACCACTAAACTGTGGAGTGGAGCATTGGCCCACCCTTCTCTCCAAATGCTCCACCCCAGGGGCCCATAACTAAACAGCATTTTGTGTTGCCTACAACACATCCTACACATACTCCCCCTGGGGTTAAAAGGCCTATCTGCCTTCACTTTATCACAATATATATATATATATATATATATATATATATATATATATCTCTCCTGCTCTGTAAATTGAAATTTAATCATATAAAGGAGGTTCATGCAGGGTCTAGCAAGCTATTAACAGTGCAGTGGATAAGGAATTCTAGATTAAACAGAATTTGTGATAAAGGAAGTGCAAACATTAGATGGCTCTTTACAGGAAATGTTTAGGAAGACTGTGTAAGTCACATGCAGGGAGGTGTGCCTAGGGCTGCATAAACAAAGTGATTTAACTCCTATATTGCAGAGAATTGAACAGTGAAACTGCAGGGCATAATCTATACAAAAATGTAATTAAACTAAAGTTGTTTTGGTGACAATAGGGTCCCTTTGAATGTAATAAACCTTTTTAAAAAATGAGACGTTAAAAGCAACTCTAACATTTTTAAAATATCTTAATATAATCTTTGTTATAATGTACCCATGTCTTTATGGTTTGTGTGTATTTTATTTATTCATGTATATTGAAATTTGTGAAGAAATCACTTGCCTACCTTTCCCACTCCTCACTTTGATTGCTCACTATTTTTTTTTTTTTAATTTTTTTTTTTTCCTCTCTCATCTGGCTATACCTTGTATATCCTACCTACACACTTCTTGAAAAAGAGATTCCATTATTTAGCTTCCCTTATTGCACAGTGTGTTTAATTTAGAATGTTGTATCTCCTGCTCTGTTTGTAGCATGCAGGAACCTCCTGTGTGTGATTTAAGTTTCCATTAATGAACCAGGAGATAATAACTTCAAAGGTAAACACACTGTTCTGTAAGATGTGATTTGAAAATAAAACCATTTTTCATAGAGACTGTGAGTCACAGCCATGAGAGGTATGGCAAGGGTTGCATAAACAAAATTATTTTTTAACTCCAAAAGAGAACTGAGCAGTAAGACTGCAACAAAACCCCTTAATTAAGCCATTGTTGTTTTAGTGCTTGTAGTGTCTCTTTAAGTATATACCAGGTTAGAAGGTGAGAAGGTGTCAGAGGTACTTATTTAATTACTGCTGTGCTGTTTGTACTGCTATCATATGTATTTTTCTTAATTTAACAGAAGCTTCAGGAGATAATGAAGAAGCCGGACATAAGTCCAAATATACGGAAGATTTTAAACCAAATTAGCACCTATGATAATATTCCAAGGAAAAAAGCCAAATTCCAGGTATGTTTAAATTTATAAAGTAATTTTCTATTTACAGACCTTTGTTTGGTAGAACCAGAGCTTAAAGAGGCTCCATCGCTAGTAGTCCCTACTTTTCGCTATGTATTTTAAGAAAAATAAAACCGAAAAGAACAGATGGAAACAGGGAAATGAGAAGAATCAAACTGAGGAATGTTAAAGGACCACTATAGTGCCAGGAAAACATACTCGTTTTCCTGGCACTATAGTGCCCTGAGGGTGCCCCCACCCTCAAGGACCCCCTCCCGCCCGGCTCTGGGGAGAGGAAAGGGGTAAAAACTTACCTTTTTCCAGCGCTGGGCGCGCGCATTCAGCCGGTCTCATAGGAAAGCATTTACAATGCTTTTCTATGGACGCTGGCGTGCTCTCACTGTGATTTTCACAGTGAGAAGCACGCAATCGCCTCTAGTGGCTGTCAATGAGACAGCCACTAGAGGATTAGGGGGAAGGCTTAACCCATTAATAATTATAGCCGTTTCTCTGAAACTGCTATAATTATGAAAAAATGGGTTAACCCTAGAAGGACCTGGCACCCAGACCACTTCATTAAGCTGAAGTGGTCTGGGTGCCTAGAGTGGTCCTTTAAGTTTGAGGTGACGTAGAAGCTTTAATGGTTTCTCTAATCTACATAGTAATATACTGTGGGGAAAAATGGATTCATTAATTAGATATCATATTAAACTTAAGAAAAAACATTTAATAATGCTACTGACACTTCAAATGTCCATAGTAGACAGTCTGCCCTCATATGTACCTGCAAACCGAGATTCTTTTGGTATGATTTACGCGATCCTATTCTTATCCAAAACATTTCTGTGCTGTAGGTGTTTATAGATTTATGTAGTTAATCTCCTAGAAACTATTCCACGTCTCAAATAAATTGTGAAACTGTTCAGTAAACTGATAACACTCCTACACACAGTCTGGTTTACTTTTTAGTGAAACAATTGTACATATTGATCGCCAGAGCTAGTAATAGAGAGAGAGCTCAGTTCAAGTTGTGCAACCAGGGGGTGAGAATCCCACTTGCCTGTTTGATAGTTTTAGGGAGCTGTTTCGTAGATGCAGGGATTTTGTAAACGATTGCTGCAATTATGAACGACCCTCACCAGTGAGAATGGGTGCAATGCGCTCTCTGGCACCGTCAAGTTTGCAATAATGCAATATTTTTTGATGCTTATCTTAACTCTCTAATATTTTGTGTTCCTGGGCAAGGGAGCTTGGTTATAACTTTTTATTTATTTATTTAAACTTTTCTTATGTTGGAAACCAGGCCACTTCATACGATAATACGTTTCAGTGAGTCTGTGAGATATCTTTACGAAGCACAGAATGATGTTGACACGGCCAAAAAGTTTTATGTGCAACCCATTCTGTTATTCCAAAAGGCAAATTTGATTATTTCAGCTGCATGTACTCTACAATTCAGTTGCACTCATAACCCCAGAGCCTCCAGTAAACCACTTGACCAAACTCATAATTTCCCCCACACCTGATTGTAACTTTGGTAAACTGTCTTAAAGGGAAATGAAAGTGGAATAGCCTGCTTTAGGGGTTATGCCGCTCTTTGTTCAGTAGATTGAAATTATTTCAGACATTTACCGGCAATGATCTTTTTGGTTTTAAGATTGTCAACATGGGTTGTTGAGATTGTTGTGTTGACTTAAAAAGATGTATACTACTATCCATAGATGTTATATTAAGAAAGATAAGAGATTCCAGGACCTAATGTCACAGTATCACAACACTTTATATTAAAAACTGCTTACTAGAGTCAATGGTGGGCTTTCTCAGCCGGATGCCCACAATCTCACCTTAAAATATTTTCCATAAGCGCCAGCCAAGCCAGTTTTTTTTAAATAAATATTTTAGTTTTTATTATTCTCTCAAAGTAGGGCTTCCTGGTCCACCTCCTAATCAAGTCAATGGTGACGCTTTGCCCGCCTCCCTTGGGTTTCTTCTGACAATGTTGTCTCTTCACATTTCGGTTTTTATATGCATTGCACTGCCCTTTCTCTCCTTCTATTGGTTGGGTGCGGTGCTACCATTGAGAGAACCGGATATTCAAAGTCATTTTCAGTCTTTACTTAAATTCGTTAATTTCAGCTATTCCGATATTAAATATTCGCAGAGTACAATCAAAGAAATGCATTCACACATAAATAGCTATGCATGTAAAGCCTTAGATGTTATCATTTTGTTGACAGTTGGAGATTATTTCAAAGAGGAATATTATTAAAACTTGTGAAAGTTATGGACTGTTTTTTCTTAAGAATTCATAAAATAAATGACTTAATTTTCTTTTTCCATCAGAACTGGATGACGAACAGCTTAAACATTAACAATCAAGCATTGCAGGATCAGATTTGGGTGATTTTCGCTGAAGCTACAAGCACTGTAAGTAATAAACACCGGAAATTAAAGTGTGATTTTCTTCTACAGAACTCTTTCACTAACCAGCAAATGTCATCCCAGGTTAAAGGATCACTTTAGTGTCAGGAAAACAAAGCAGTTTTCCTGACAATATAGTGACCTGAGGGTGCCCCCATCCTCAGGGTCCCCCTCCCGTGGCGCTGAAGGGTTTAAAACTCCTTCAGCTTTCCTTAATCCAGCGCCGGGCTCCCACTCTGTCACAGGAGCCGAATGCGCATGCGCAGCAAGTGCCGTGCGTGCATTCAAAGTGTCCATAGGAAAGCATTTCTCAATGCTTTCCTATGGAAGATCTGTGCGATGGATGCATAATATGCCTCCAGCGTCGCAGATGCGACTCTAGTGGCTCTTCGGAAGACAGCCACTAGAGGCTGTCTTAACCCCAAATGTAAACAAAGCAGTTTCTCTAAAACTGCTATGTTTGCATCTGAAGGGTTAAAACCTGAGGGACCTGGCACCCAGACCACTTCATTGAGCTGGGTCGGCCCCTTTAGGGTCCCCGAAGGTGTAAAGATGACCTCTGCAAAGTATGTGGAGTTTCTGACTGACCACTTTCTTCCCTGGTACAGAAGGAAGAACTATGCTTTCCGTAATAAAATCATCTTCATGCATGACAATGCACCATCTCATGCTGCAAAGAATACCTCTGCATCAATGGCTGCTATGGGCATAAAAGGAGAGAAAGTCATGGTGTGGCCTCCATCCTCCCCTGACCTCAATCCTATTGAGAACCTTTGGAGCATCCTCAAGCAAAAGATCTATGAGGGTGGGAGGCAGTTTACATCCAAACAGCAGCTCTGGGAGGCTATTCTGACATCTTGCAAACAAATTCAAGCAGAAACTGTCCAAAAACTCACAAGTTCAATGGATGCAAGACTTGTGAAGCTGCTATCAAATAAGGGGTCCTATGTTAAAATGTAATGTGACCTGTTAAAATGTTTAAAAAGTTAAAATGTTGTTATAAGTTTGATTGAAATAGCTTTTGATTTCAGTAAATATGCTGCAAACACAACAAATGACAATTTTCAGTTCTTTACAACCTATAAAGTGTTTTGAAACTTACTGTGCGTAATAATTTGGAACAGTGCATTGTAAGTTTATGTTGAGAAAAAAAACAACTTATCATTTGGAGGTTTGCTCAATAAAATTTGAATTGTACTCTTAATAGTTGATAACATGAGAATTATGCTGACTGTTAATTAGGTAAATGAGAAAAATATCATTTGCATAATAATTTGGAACAGGGTGTATTTCTAGCGCTATAGTATCAATGTCCCTATCCATTTTTAGGCCCCTAACCATGCACAATGAAATTTTAATAAAAGTAAGTTTACTCCCCTTCCCTGCAGTGCTGAGTCTCCCTCTGTGCTGCTACATGCTCTTACTCACTTGATATCATCCTGGAGGCTTGACTCATAGTGTATCATTGGGAACCATAGCTGGCCACGAGCCGCTAATGATTTTGTTCTAGAGAATAGAAGCATGCAGTTATTCTTTGACTGATTGTGATGGCACTGTACATGCGTGCAATGACCTTGTAGTATACCTGGATTTGAGCGCTACGACTTGACAGTCCAAGCCTTCTAACTATTAAAACACTGTAAGCGGTTACAAGGAAGGGGGGAAACTACTGTAGGTACTGTAACAACTTTATTTAGATTTTTCACACTTGTCCACTTTTTGGGTTGAAGGCACAAGTTAAAATGGTTGTGTTTTTATTTAAATTTTTTTTTTATTTGTTTTGCTCAGCCTCAGATCACTTTGGGAACCAGAACAAGCCAGAAGGGATTTGTGTCTAGGTAATAAGATATGTTTTGGTTCAGTGCCCTGCTAACCGTTATAAGGGTCTATCTTGCCTTTAGGGCTCAGACTGAACTGTTGGGTAATGGGTTTTATACTTGTGGCATACAACAGTTTCCTCCTCCTCCTCCTTCCTTCCCATCTCCAAACATTTTGTGACAAGTTGTGACCAGCTGTAATGTTTAGGAGTAGTAGAAGCCAATGCTGCTTGCTGTTTATTACTTTAATAATCCAGTTTTGGCACATGCATACATTTTTAAGTAGTCTAATGCAAGGATAGGATGTCCACATTTGTGTTAATCTTTGTTTATTAGTGTTTCTATGTGTCTGTCTTTAGTGTGTTGATGTATTCCTCTTTCTTTATACTTAGTTGTATGTGTCCTTCTTTGCGAATCTATCTGTTCATCTTTAGACAAATGTTTCTCTTTTTGTGTTTGCCTGTATTAAAATTTTTACCAGTTTTGTTTCTGCCAGTTTTATCATTATTTGTTTTGAGGGGTGGAATGTGGATATCTGGATAGGAAGCAGAGACTAAATCTACAGCCGTGGAGTATAGGGGTTATCACATAGGTGAAGTGTTCTGAGGATGGAATCAGGATTGAGCCATGGGTCCCACATTTTTGCTTTAAACTGAAGCCTGAGGTTCTTTTGGAACTTATCAACAGTCCTGTATCTTTACACTTTTTGTTTTGTTTTCTGCCGAAACAAAAATGTAGCATGAATAATTCTGACTTCTATTTTAACTCCTAAGGGAAACGGTAATCAAAATAATGCAAAGCAGTCAGAGAGTGCACCTACTGAAACCCAGTCTGAACTTGCAGAGCATTTAGAAGAAAGTGAGAAGAAAAAAAACAAAAGGGAACGTAAGGAAGAAAGACAAAAAAAGAATAAAAAAGAAAAGAAAGAAATGGCAGAAGAGCAAACAGAAAATGGGAAAAAGAAAAAAGGCAAAAAGCGTAAGATGGAAGACCAGGAGAAAAATGAAGATAAGGAATCTGAAGCCATAGAGGACATGCCAAAGGGAAAGAAGAAGAAACGAGCTGCTGAAAGCATACAGAACGGTCACAATGAAGGCGATGCACCAAAACTCAGTAAAAAACGAAAGCACAAAGAATCTGAAGGTATGCTCCTTATTGTTATGATCACCAGTAAAGTGAATTATTTTCGGTACCTTTTTTACCTATAATTTTGCTTAACTTGGAGAATAATCATTCTCCCTCACCAGTCTTTTAATATTCCTGGAGGAGAGAAGCACTCTAATCATTTAGTTAGGTGAAGTTATGCAGCCTGCAATTTGATTGGAGTTTGCGGCTGGTTGTTAAGCCTGCAGGAAGATGTGGAAGCGGCTTTGTGACTCCTCTTGGCATATTGTGTAAAATGAAATCTGTGGAGTAAATGGTGTGCTCGAACCTCTGTGTCAGTGTCTGTGATCCTGTCTGTTGTGTGTGTGAGCGCTTACAGTGCAACAGTCTGTGTGCATAGAATGAATATAGCAGTGCATGCTAGTGACAAAAGTACCTATATTTATTTGCACTTTCCTAGGATTTGCATGTTCTTGCAGACTAGGAAGTAGCTGACACCTGTCTGCCAGTTTTACAGTCATCCAACTTAGAATGCTGAGCATACCATATAAAACCCTACTTGAAGTGTTCCAATAATAATAATTAATAACTACGATGTCCCGAGGCTGTCTTGATATAATGGTACTTGTTATGAAGTGATTAAATCAAAGCCTGACAGAGTGGACTTTGCAAATTACTATATACAAACCTAATTTAAAAGACTCATGTGTCGCACAATCATGTAAAACCATTTACAGAATACTTGTTTTTACGTTGAAGGAGAGCTGCCCGAAGAAATGCCGGAACAAAATTCAGCTGATGAGAACGAAAATAACGAGACAGGCCGAGGTAAAACTCCTTCAAACACTTCTGTTCTGAAAGTCCAATTTCTCACTTATTCACTTATTGTAGATTTGATAATATATAGCATGCTCCTCTAGCTGATTAAAAGTCTCACTCAATTACCTCTTCATTCCCTTTATATTTTACCAATAGCTGCAACTCTCTGTTAACTTCATTTAGCAATCACTTCCAAATTTCGCCTGCTACCTCTTGTCTCAAATCCCCACCGTATACTTTAGATTGTAAGCTCACGGGCTATCTAGCTAAGCACTTTGTATAAAAAAAATTAAAAAAAACTTAAATGGCTAGATCTCCGCTTACGGGCAGGGCCCTCTCTACATTTTGTAATTGTCAGTATATATTGTACGTTCTCCACTAATTGTACAGCGCTGTGGAATTTGTTGGCGCTTTATAAATAAATAATCTTATGTATGATTGTTTTATATTTCAGGTAAATTTAATTGGAAGGGAACCATCAAAGCACTACTACAACAAGCTCCTGACCATGAACTACCAATAAAGAGACTGAGGAAGAAGGTATCTCTCACAAATACTGCTTAATGCATTATACCGGGGGCTTATTACCTAAACAGTAAAGTTATAAATTGTATTTTACAAAGGAATGTTCCTAACTTAGCCAGTTTGGACTAAACTTTGCACATTTAATTTACCTAAATTCCCTGTGTAGCGGTTGGCTTTTTGTATTTATGGCTTCATACTTTAGTGTGCTAGATTTTTTATTTTGTATATTTTTGGAATTATTTTAGAATGCTTCAATTCTCAGGTAATTTTATTTTTTTTCTCCTTTTCCCCTTCCCTTGGTTTTTAACTTAGAGGAATTTTATTTCACCACCAAAAATGATGGTTGAGGGGGAAGATCACCTTGTAGAGCAGTCTTGTCACATTTGTAAGGGGGGGGAAAGAAGACTACCCAAAATGCAACATTTAAGAAGCCCATGAGTATGTTTGCAGTTGATACCATTTGAGTTTTTTTCACTAAACTGTGAATTGTGGAAAATTGTTTAACAAATTGCTGTTTCAGGAGAAATCGGTTGTGCAGAAATATAGCATAGTCTTTTTTTTTTTTTTTTCTCACTTTGCAATCCTATTTCCACTTTTCTTTTTTTTACTTCAACCTTGATTCACAAATAACTTAAACAAAGTTTCAGTTTTAAATAACTTGCTTTCTAGAGTGCCTGTTCTAGATGTGTCATTATTATACTTGTGATTTGTCTGTCTGTAGGTCCTCGCGCAGTACTACACAATATCGTCTGCACAACACAAATCTGAAGAGGAACTTCTTTCAACATTCAATAAAAAACTGCGCAGCAATCCGAAATTCAGAGTTTTAAAAGAAAAAGTAAAACTCTTACAATAAGGAAATCCTGAAAATATATGTAAATGTATTATTAAAGTTAAACTTGCTCATGGCATTCCTTAAAAAAAGAAAAAATGTTTGCTTGTTTTTATATAATTATTCTCAGGAACAATCCCAGTTCAAAAAACCGTTTTGCATAACAGAGTTTTATTGCATGAATGTTTTTAAAGTTTTTTATTCAATCCCTTATTTTGGGTAAGTTGATTTCTAGTTTTGCATCTGCTTTCGCAATAAGAATTGTAAAGAAAGTTTACCTTTTTACATCTAAATTAAAGAAATCCCATTTAACTCTCTGCAACATAAAGATGCTTCTACTGTGCTTTGTTTTTTAATTTTTTTTTCTCTTCTGCTTCCTTTTTTTTGAGCTTCACGCTAAGCTATACTGTACCCGCCTTTCCCCCTTCTCTGTGAGCTGTATTACAGCTCATTGAGAAGAATCGAAAAGCTGCATTATGTGCACCTCCAACACAGAGGTTTCTCAATGAAAAGCCTTTGATCTGAGTATTCCCCAGCACAGACTTAAAGGGACATTATTAGCACCCCATCTCAATTAAGTGATCTGGGTGCCCTGTTCCTGTAGTTTTAACCCTGCAAATGACAACTTGATTACATTGTATGGTTTAAATGCCTCTAGTGGCTGTCACACTGATCCTATTTCAATAGGATTGTCTCATAAACACCATCTGATTCATGCAGCATGGTGTTTTGCCCCCTTGTGCGCATTAGCCCCCCCCATACTTTTCTATGCTTTCCTTGATAAGCTCAGCCAAACAGGCATGCAAGCAGGACAGAGACCAGCGCAGCGAGGGATGAAAGGTAATTACATTTCACCCTTCGAGCCCTTTTACGGCTGGGGATGTTTCTACAGATCGATTAAAACTATAATGTTGGGAATACATGTTTGTATTCCTTCCACTATAGTGTTCCTTGAAAGCCTGTGTTGGGTATAAAGGTTACATGTTGAAAAGGCTATGGAGAAGAGATCTGCAGTTTTTGCAAGCTGCATTAGATAATAACCAGTTTGACAAACCACCACTTTTCCAGGTAGGATTTTATGGATCGTATGGTAACCACAGCCTTCTAGGGTCATCGAAGTCCAAGACACACCCAGCTCAGTTTTTCAGATTTATTTGATGAAAAATAAAGTTTCTTTAAATAAAGATAAACGAAACAAAATTCATTGCTTTTGCTTGAGTGCTTACTAGACATTTTCTAGCTGTAATTGGGTGGCTTTCCCACTTACCAATTTTCATAAACAAAATACACTTACAGAAACACCATTCCTCTCTGCTTTCCTAGCTGGCTTTTTCTCCCTCCCCCTGCAGCAGGCTGATCTCTTATTTTACAAACCTGCCAATTGACCAGCTACAGATGAGTTTAAATTAGTCCACATTTTTGGAACTCTTAAGTTAAACACAAGTTCTGGTCTGGCTGTTACGAAGGTCTATGGAATCTGTTGGCACTATATAAATGGCAATAATAAATAGTGCTATTGGAGCACTGGCCCACCCTGCGCTCCAAAAACTTACCGTGGTTTGCAGATTACCAACAATGTATCTTGCAAACTTAACATCTCTCCCTGGGACATTTAATTGAGAAACTTTAGGCTGCTTTTTAGTAAAGTAGGCCTGATATACCCTCAACAACCATTCCACATTTTCTCTCACATCCCAAAGAAAACAGCGAACAAAATGCATGTATGTTTGGTTTTTCCCCAGGAATATAGCTACAAAATTGTTAAAAATAATTTCCATAGTTAAAGGGTCACCAAAATAACTTTCGTTTTAATGAAGCGGTTTTTGTCTATAGATCATGCCTCCTGCAGTCTTACTGCTCCGTTCTCTGCCGCTTAGCAGTTATATCACTTTGTTTCTGTTTGTGCAGCCCTAGGCACACCTCCCTGGCTGTGACTGACACAGCCTACATGAAGACAAAATAGTTTCATTTTTAATCAGATGTTAACTTATGTTAAAACATTTTTCCTGTTCTGTAAATTGAACTATAATTACATACAGGAGGCTACTGCAGGGTCTAGCAAGCTATTAAAGCGGCACGGTCATGGACGAATCCTGTTTTTGGTTTTTTAAACCTGACTCCACTACATCTAATTGTCCCGCAAGTCACCTCCAAATGCCCCTAAGCCGCCCATATTAACTATTTTTGCATCTTTATTTTGTGCTAGGCCCTGGGCGCCACCATCTTTGTGTGAATAGATGATGTCCCTGTGGGACACGTCATCTTCCCACACTAGATAGCGCTGTGAAATTCCTGAGCATGCCCAGTTAAACACTTGGGCATGCGAACGGGAATTTCATCCAATCATTCGTCAGAAAGACGAATAAATGAATAGAAATTTCAAACAATGAACGAAGACCTCTTCCTTCGTTAATTTGGTTTATTACAAGAAGGGAGCTACCATTTTGCAGCTCCCTCTAAAAATATTTACCGTAAGCGCGCACAGAAGGGGGGCGGAGGCCAAGTGTTACACGGGAAAAATAAAAGGTAGACACACAGCAACAACTTGCCATCCGGACTTTGACTGAAACCTCCGCCTGACTTACCCGGAGGAGACATCTCCCAGTGTGGGAAAGCGAACTCGTGAGTAACGGGAAAATATACCGTTGTATCCACCACTCACCACTCATCTGTTTACATATTCTTTTTTGTTTTAACATTTTTTTTTAATATACTTTTTACTGTTAAATTATTGTGATTTGTTAATAAATTGTCATTCAACCATCCAGTTTATCAGTACATATACTGTATGTGATAATTAACACTACCCATAGAAGTGCAATATCAATACTATCCATACAGGTCTGCACTATCAATATTTTAATTCCTTCCAATTTTGGTTGCATGTGGGAAGGGGCTTATCACCTTAACATCGCTCCACTTCTTGAAAGTTATTTTATTTTGGGTGCCCTAAATAACAATAAGGGGGGGGGAGAATCTATTGTCCTCCACCCATGAGCGCTGGGTGGGGGCCCTAAATGAAAATGGGAGGGTGAACCAGGTGACTAGGGATCCCCAAGCCCCTAGTCACTGCCCACACCCAATTTTTTTTAATAAAGACCTACCTACCTCCCTCACCCTAAATATAGTGAGGGGGAACAATAAAACTAAATCCCTGTAAATAAAAAATAACTTATCATTTGATGTCTTCTTTTTTCTAAAATCGTCTGTTTTCAGTCCTAAAAAAGGCCAAATAAAAATCCATAAAACCTGTCGAACTATGAAAATAAAATAAAAAACACGAAAAAAAAAATCAGATGAAAAAAAACCCCAGACACTAAAAAAAGTAATCCATCTTCACCCATGGAGGGCACCGCGCAGACTGAGCTCCGCAGGGCGGGGAAGGGCTTATAAAGCCTTCCCATGCCCTGCAATTAGGCTCAGAGCGGTCTGATTGGTTGGTTTAAGCCAACGAATCAGAGTGCTCTGACAGGTAAATGAAGAGACTAACATGTAAGTCTCTATATTTACTTGTCACAGCACTCTGATTGGTTGGGTGGGGGTTAGGGCCCCCATCTGCCGCTCATAGGTGGGGCCAGGGGGAGGACAATAGGTCCTCCCCCTTTATTGTAATTTAGGGTCCCCACCCGCCGCTCAGGGTTGGGGGCTGGGAGGAGGACACTAGGCCCCCCTCCCCTTATTGTTATTGAGGACCCCCACCTGTCGCTCATGGGTGGGGGGAGGACAATAACTACTCGGGTCCATAACTACATGCAATAAGCAGCCCTAGTGGCCACGAGGGACCCCCGGAAAACCAAGTGCACCCGGCCTGGCTGGGACCCCACCAATGCATAACACCTTTTTAGCCATATAGAACGGGATGCCCTTGGTGACGGGGTGCACACGAGAGGCATGGCACGCTACGAAATGGCCTAATGCCTCACGTCGTTGTGCAAGGAAGAAACGTGAAATTTTGAATAATACCATGTGATGACCGTTGATATACACTTGCTCACAGAACCCGGAATCTACGAGCTTGACACAGCTTTAAATATTGAGCACTACATCTACTAGGTATATGACTTTAATGTTCAATGTACAATTGGGACCTGCGAGTCCACACCTTCGAAAATGTTTCTTTACCTACAAAAAAAATAAATAAAACCAAGATTTACAAAAAAAAAAAAGATACAGGTAGATACAGTGGGAATTATGGAATTATCTACTAAGCGGCTGCAGAACAAAGTACCGAATTGCGTCCTAACATGAATAAATAAACTGTTCTCATTCTGTTATGACGAAATTCGCTAGTTTCGCCGGCGTTCTGTCTAAGTGACAGGACGTTCGGGAATACTGACGGGAAGCATCGCAAGATCACGGAGGAAATTGCTTTGACCACAGGAAACTGAGCACACTTTGTTCCTCTGCTAGACAAGCGTAGGAAACCTCCATAAGACAAAGTAGTCCCTACTTTGTCTTATGTTTAAAAGAAAACTAGAGCAGACAGGAAGAAATGAAGAACAGATCCTGACAGAGGAAGAGAAGAGGAATTGATTAAAGAAAGGTAAGTTCAGAATGAAAGTGCCGCTTTAACAGAGCAGGAGATAAGAAATTGTAAATTAAATAGAATTTGCAATAGAGGAAGTGTAAACAGTTGACTCTTTACAGGAAGTGTTTAGGAAGGCTGTGCAGGTCACATGCAGGGAGGTGTGACTAGGACTGCATAAACAATGTGATTTAACTCCTAGATGGCAGACAATTGAGCAATGAGATTGCAGGGGCATGATCCATACACCAAAACTGCTTCATTAAGCTAAAGTTGTTTTGGTGACCATAGTGTCCCTTTAAGTGTTTAAAAGCACAGATATTTGCAAGATGTTTGAAGCCTTTTTCTCTGTCTATGATTATATAAACCGTGCCGATGCCAATATGTGCACGTGAGATTGTCCTTGCCATCTAAAACAGATCATTGTTAGGTGATGACATCAAAGCATTCAACAAATTAAATTTGATATGTGAGCATTGTGAGTCATTTTAATCTGTGCCCTATTATGTATCATAAACTTCATTTCTTAGGAGTGAATTACAGAAATGTTATTTGGTTGCATTATTGAGGAAGGATATCATTATCAAAACCTTATTAGACCGTAATCTATATGAATGAGCATATACATTGTAATGGTTCTTAGTGTGTCCTTTTAAAGGGATTTTTCGGGCATACAGCTCAGTTCACGAAAGTGCATCTGGCTGTGTTTAAATTTATGAGAGCTGTGGTTGGCTGCTCTCTCTATGTTCTTCCAATGGGATGAATAGATTTTCTGCTAGGGAATAAACTGTCCTTAGACCAGGATGAGTCCTGACTGGTGGGACCAATTCCATGTGAGGCAAGGTTTCAGAATCTTTTTTTTTTTTATTCTTAAAACATTTCCTATAGAATGCTTTACTGCATCAGAAAATGATGATTTGAAAATGAAAATGGTCATATGCACTTTTTTTTTTATGTTCCACATCAGGTTTTTATTGCGGTATTTGAACAGAAGACAGAGTATACAGTATTACAAGGATCAAACAATATATGCAAAATCTTATATAGCGGTAACATAAGCTATACCTCATTTCGGAATACAAACTAGGTTCACAGATAAATAAGTGCAATCTTATGTAATGACAGAAATATTAGCAGTTGGTCATGTAGTAAATAGCACTTACATCTAAAACAACCAAAACCATGCTGAATTGGTCATATTTATTTTACGCTGCTCTGAAATCACTAGACATACATTAAGAAAAGGGGGGGGGTGGAATTTAGAAAGAAAAACTATAACAACATGGCTGATAATGGTCCGGAAAGGACATCTAGAATTGGAAAAGTGATGCAATAAAAAGGCTTCAGGAGACCGCAAATTGCAGCCACAGGCATTGCCGCGCTGTATAGATGGAAGCTGCAGCTTTTTAGGGCCCTGAGTGCGTACTGATGTTGGTTGTTTTAATTTTTTTTTCTCTCTGTCTTTGGCTTAGCTTTGACATTCAGGTATCAAAGCTGTTTATTGTGCATGAGATATGGCAGATTAGTGCATGCGGTTTAGTTATTTTTGAAGGTGGGACACGCAGGTCCAGCGTTGTAGAGCGTTGCAAGCTTTTTTGCATCAGTAGTTTG